AGCAATGTGGTTGACTCAGAACTGTCTCTGAAACAGCCTAACAAACCACACAACTGGACAAAGTGATTAAAACTGTTGTTATTCAAGAAGGATATCATCACTATCCTCCCAGTAGCAATTAGGAATTGGCAATAAATGCCAATGATACCTGCATTCTAAGAACAACTTCTTTTAAAAACAGGGCGACTCCAATCTGAGTTCTGAGGAAGAGTCACTGGACCCGAAACACAAACTCTGATTTTGCTCCACAAATGTTGCCAGACCTGCTGAGCTTTTCCAGCAATTTCTGTTTTCTTTTCTAACTCCAATGCAGTTCATCATTGTTATCCAATAAACCACGAGGAAAGACTGGGGTTTAAATTTGGCACCTTGGGTAAGGGATTGTTAATAGGGTTGGGATGGTGGGGGGCAATAGATATATCTCAATAGATATAAATTATTAAAATGTTGGAAGTAATGTCAACTGGTCACCTGGATGTGTGAGCATAAAATGAAATTAATGTGAGGCAAATTAGGAACTATTTTTAAAACTGGTAAGCCGCTGGGTGAGGACACAAAGGGAAGGCTGGATCTTGGCCCTTCAGGGTTGAATATATGAACATAATGAATAAAAAGGCTGGACAGCTCTTTAACGGGACCCTGGGCTAATGTTTTACATTAATTCCAGTTTCCCACCCTATTCCTACATTCCTTTAGTGTCAAACAAACTACCGATTTAGGCCTTGAATGTTCCCAATGACTGAAAACCCACAACTCTCTGAGGGAGAGAATCTAAAAGATTAACAACCCTCCGAGTGAAGCCCTAGTCCTGTCAGCCTGATTGAAATCACCAGTGCAACCTTGCATGAAGCCTCAAAAAAACCTTGAACTCTTCCCCTCGAATACGGGGAAAACTCAACTAAGGACAACAAAATGGAAAAACTTATGTTACTTTTTATTACCATTGGGAATCTCTAAATACTTCACAGCCATTGAAATGCTTTTTGATGCAGTTACTTTTTTGATGTCGGAAATGCAACAGCCAATTTGTGCACAGCAAGCTTCCACAAACAGCAATGTGATCACATGACTGCTTTTCCCATGCGGGAAGTCAGTCTATGGGTGGGAACTCCCCTGTTTCTCTTTAACTTGGAACAATGGGCTGTTCAACGTCCATGTAGGAGGGCAGCAGACACCTCAATGTTACATCTTGGCTGAGTAACTGCACATCAGTCAGTGTAGCATTCTGGGAGTGTGACATCCACATTGTTTCTTCTACCTGCCAGAATTCCTGCAGTTCAGACATCTAAGTTAATATTGGTCAAAAAAGCAAGTAAAAATAGGGGCACATCGTCTCTTTGAAAACTGTCAATAGTCCAATTGCTGCTTGTGAGAAGATTGGTTGCTCTCCCTCCTCATCTCCAATACAAGCGCATTTGAGCAGGATCAATAATGCTTAGGGTTGTGTTTGAAATTTTAAGCAGTTTTGCTTTTTTGCCCACACACAATCCCCACCTGGATGTTGTAGATTAAAAGTCCCTTAAAAGAGCGAGGCAATTGGATTACACATCATTGAACCAGATGAACAGAATCTGGAGTTGTTGGATGAAATTTTAGATACACACACCTATTTATCAACTCTAAGTGTTTTCCAAGCAGATGTGGACTTCAAATGCAATGCAGCAACACCAGAAAGCATGTACAGAATGTTAACCATCATAATTTAAAATAAATGCATGAATCAGTGGGGTAAAGATAATGCACAATAACATTACACAACTCGATGCCTTGGAGTGTCACCACATTGACATGAGTGTTTAATAGTAGTTTGGGAGACATTGTCACAATATTAAATCACATTGGAAACTGATTTCTATATCAGCTAGTTTCAGACAGCACCAAACAATGTGCAGCTTCCAAAAGCCATGATAAAATCAGGTTGTGCTAAAACCCTGCTACACTAAGGCTATTACTGTCACTGGGGAAAATACTCCCAGAAAATAACATGGATTAATGTCTTGCTGGTCTTGGAAGGGGAATAACACAAGAATTATGGTGATAAAAATTGGAAATATATTAAATATAATGGAGTAAATGTTCTTTTGCTCTTTTCAAAGATGTGGTATATTTCACTGCAACAAATAAAATATTCTAGTATGATTTGTCCAATAGAATTTAGGATTACAGAGAACAAAACACCCACAAGACACACATTTCCTTTTGAAAGAGTGGCAGACTGCAATAGTTCAGTTGCACAATATGACTCATCATATCAATAAATGGTTCATTCTCACCTGACCAAATCTTACAATGTCAAAAGAATTGATGCAACACAGTTTTATATGGTGTGGGACCAAAATTGAATGGGGCTGATCTTTACCTTGTGGGAGAGTGTAAAACAGGTTACAGCTTTGATTTTGACACTTCTATCAAATCTCCTCCCAACTGTGGAGATGTTCTGAGATAACAAGGTGTGTAGAGCTGGATGAACACAGCAGGCCAAGCAGCATCAGAGGAGCAGGAAAGCTGACGTTTCGGGGCTAGACCCTTCTTCAGAAATGGGGGAGGGGAAGGGGGTTCTGAAATAAATAGGGAGAAAGGGGGAGGCGGATAGGAGATGGATAGAGGAGAAGATAGGTGGAGAGGAGACAGACAGGTCAAAGAGGCGGGGATGGAGCCAGCAGATGTGAGTGTAGGTGGGGAGGTAGGGAGGAGATAGGTCAGTCCAGGAAGGACGGACAGGTCAAGGGGGTGGGATGAGGTTAGTAGATAGGAGATGGGGGTGGGTCTTGGGGTGGGAGGAGGGGATAGGTGGGAGGAAGGACAGGTTAGGGAGGCGGGGACGAGCTGGGCTGGTTTTGGGATGCAGTAGGGGGAGGGGAGATTTTGAAGCCCACATTGATACCATTGGGCTGCAGGGTTCCCAAGCAGAATATGAGTTGCTGTTCCTGCAACCTTTGGATAGCATCGTTGTGGCACTGCAGGAGGCCCAGGATGGACATGTCCTCTGAGGAATGGGAGGGGGAATTGAAATGGTTCGCGACTGGGAGGTGCAGTTGTTTATTGTGAACCGAGCGTAGGTGTTCTGCAAAGCGGTCCCCAAGCCTCCGCTTGGTTTCCCCGATGTAGAGGAGGCCACAACGGGAACAGCGGATGCAGTATACCACATTAGCAGATGTGCAGGTGAACATCTGCTTGATGTGGAAAGTCTTCTTGGGGCCTGGGATGGGGATGAGGGGGGAGGTGTAGGGGCAGGTGTAGCACTTCTTGCGGTTGCAGGGAAAATTGCCGGGTGTGGTGGGGCTGGAGGGGAGTGTGGAGCGGACAAGGGAGTCACGGAGAGAGTGGTCCCTCTGGAAAGCAGATAAGGGTGGGGAGGGAAAAATGTCTTTGGTGGTGGGGTCGGATTGCAGATGGCGGAAGTGTCGGAGGATGATGCGTTGGATCCGGAGGTTGGTGGGGTGGTACGTGAGGATGAGCGGGATTCTGTTTTGGTTGTTATTGCGGGGAGGGGCTGTGAGGGATGAGTTGCGGGAAATGGATGTTCTGCAGTTTATCATTGTAGCTGATGTCCCCGATCCCCAAAACCCTTCTCGTAAATCTTTTCTCTGCGCGGTCTTCACATCTTTCCTAAATTACGGTGTCCAGAATTGGACACACATACTCCATATCTTACAACATTAGTGACATTGTGAGCAAAGCAGGAAATGAGCTACTACCATGGACAGTAAAACTATCCCTGTATTGTAGGGACTGTGGAAGCATTAGTGCTACAAGGGCCAGCTCATGGATTTCTATGTGCATTGTGACATTTTACTGCAAACAAGCATTCTCAACTACACGTCTTGCCACCTACATTCATAATTATGATGATGCCCTACATCATTTCAACGATTTCCACTTTCCTGGCCTTAAAAACTTCCCCTTCACTACGGACGTCCAATATCTTTATGTCTCCATCCCTCACTGGGATGCTCTGACTGCTCTCTGCTTCTTTCTTGATCGGTAGCCCGACCAGCCCCTATCCAACACTACCTTTCTGTGCCTGGCTGAGTTGTTCTCTCATTGAACAACCTCCTTTTCAGTTGTCTCACTTCATTCAAATAAATGGGCCCTGCTTAAGCTTGTCATTTTGTGTATGTAAGATCAATAGACGTCGGAGAAGTAGGCCATTCAGCCCATCGAGCCTGCTCTGCCATTCAATGACAGCGTGGCTGATCTGATGACCCTCAAATACACTTTCCTGTCTTCTCCCCATAACTGAAAATTCGCTTACTGATGAGAAATCCTCATCCGTTCTGTGTTCCAGTCTTACTCAGGCCTCATCCCACCATTCTTTCCCCGACACATAAATGACTATCGTTGCCATTTCCTGAGCAGAGTGGGCAGCCAGGATTTCTCTTAAAGCACCCCCACACAATCTGAACCTGCTAAAGTTCTAAACCTTTTGTGTAAAAAGAAAATCATGGCCTCCAAGAAGACCTTAAATTTAGATTAACTTTCAAAAGGTTCTGTTGAAGAACAATGAGTTGGTAAACAGATGCAGAGTCACTTGCCCCACTTGGTTGCCAGCCTCAGGGAAGTGGAAGTGTCAGGGTAATCATGAGTAGAAGTATCTAGAAGCTCTCAACAACTTCTACAGATGCACCATTGAAAGCATACTGTATGGCTGCATAACGGCCTGGTATGGCAACTGCTCGGCCCAGGACAATAAGAAACTACAGAAGGTGGTGAGCACAGCCCAGACCATGATGGAAGCTAACCTTCCATCCATGGACTCTATTTACATGACTCACTGCCGCGGAAAGGCAGCCAACATCATCAAAGACCCATCTCACCCCGGTAATGCTCTCCGCCAACCTCTTCCGTCAGGCAGAAGATACAGAAGCCTGAACACAGGTACAAGCAGGTTCAGGAACAGCTTCTTTCTGGCTGTTGCCAGACTGTTGAATGGACTCTCGCCTCAAATAACGTAGCCTGCAATGTAACCTGTATGCCACTGAGTCTTTCTGATCTGTACATCCTTTGCTTGCTGTGATCTGCCCGTACCACTCTTAAACAAAGCTTTTCACTGTATTTCGGTACACGTGACAATAAAATCAATCAAACAATCAATCGAGCTTGAGGCACATTCACTTGGACAGGTTGCATTCCAGATCTCTACCAAGTCATCACAGGGAGGCGCTGTAAGCAGCAGAGAGCAACTACCCTATGAGGACACTCAGTGTAGGTCTACTCTTCTATGCTTCCTCTGTGTGGAGTTGAGAATAGTATGAGGTTGCTGAACTTCCCAGGTGGGCACAGGAAAAGCATCGAGGGACAAAACAAATCTCTTTTCAAGCCATGGAAGAAAACTTCCTTTTCTGAAATTAAAAATTTCAGATTCAACTGTGATCGATTTAGTGCTCCTGAGTGCAAGGTGGGAAACTTCAACAAAACTTGTCTTTTGACAGCAATACTCAAATGGTGATAGATTCAGAAGATAAACAGTTAACTATGCACAGTACGCTTGAATTTATAAATGCTGGGCGCTTTACTCTCCATTGTTTCCTATATTAGATCAAAGCTTTAAATTGAGACCGATCTCATGAACACAATTCTTAACGTACCTCCAAAAAACCTAAAAAGAAATGTTGCAAAATTCGCTAATACAAAGTTCAGAGAGAAGTGTCACCGTTTTGTGAAATGCTCGACACAGCATGAAGTGGACTGTCTTCACTCCGAAACTGTAGGTTGGTCTCTCCTCGCTTAGACATGAACCTACTGGCCGCAGTAGTGAACCTCCTCCTGAAAGTGTCTCCTGCCAGAAAGTATAAGATAGGGTCCACACAGCTATTGAGGCTGGCAAGCCCCCGGGTCACTTGATAAGTGGCGTAGACCCTCTTGTTCCACTCGCATGTCTCTGGCCCCTGGTAATAGAGTCTGGACTGTAGGTTTAGATTCTTCATCACATGGAAGGGGAGATAGGAGATGGCAAAGACGGCCAACACGATGATGACGAGACGCACAGACTTGCCCCGGAGAGGTGTCCTCATGTTGTTAGATATTAAGGCCTTCACGATAAATCCATAACAGACTAGAATAGTGGCGAAGGGAATGCAGAAACCAAAGAACGTAGTCAGCATGCTGTATATGAAATAAGTGCCCAGGAGCTCTCTGGACGTTGTGTCATAACATGTAATTGTTTTATTTTTCCTTGGCCCGGTTCGGGAGAAGTACAGTATTGGGGAGATCCCAGCCATGACCACAACCCACACGCACACGCACACAATAGTGGCCGATTTTTTCTTCAACCTGCCCAGTGATTTCATGGGGTGCACCACGCCCGTGTACCTGTGGACACTGATGCAGGTCAGAAACAAGATGCTCCCGTAGAGGTTAACGTGGAAAATGAACCTCTGCAGTTTGCACAGTGTCTCTCCGAAGATCCAGTCAGTCTTGTTGAAATAGTAAAATATTAAAACGGGCAGAGAGAAGACGTAGAAGAGGTCAGCCAGGACGAGGTTAAACATGTAAACGGTGATGCTACTCCAAGGCCTCATGTGAAAGATGAACATCCAGAGAGCAACACTGTTTCCAATGAATCCAGTTACAAACACGATAATGTACATGATGGGCAGATAGTAAAACTGGAAGCCCTTGTTCAAGGAGCAGGTTTTGTTGATGCTAGCAGTCAGGTCACTGGTCAAATTTGAAAAATTTGATAACGCCTCCTGCATTGTATCCAACTCAAGGTCTTCCATTTGGCATCAACAGAATGGTGTGCCTCCCTTCAAGAAACAGAACATCTGAAACAGCAAACAATCCAGTTTAAGCTTGCATGATTTTTTTCGGGAAACAATTATGACTCATTAATGATATCTTTCCTTCAGAATATTGTTCTCATTCTACAAAAAAATTACCAAAGGTGCATAAATGGTCAAAGTAATGGTGCAAAGAAAGACCAAATTTGCATTCATGCAGAATAGCATAAAATATAGGAGCAGAGATAGGCCGTTTGGCCCAATGAGTCTGCTCCACCGTCCAATGAAATCACGGCTCATCTGATAATACTCAACTCCACTTCCCTGCCTTTTCTCCAATACCAACAATTCTCTTTCTGATTAAAAATCTGTCTATCTCAGCCTCGAATAAACTTAACCACCCAACTTTGACAGTCCTCTATGGTAAAAAAAAACAAATCCACAGGTTCACTATCCTCTGAGTCAAGAAATTCCTCCTCTGTGATGTAACTGGGTGACCACTTACTCTGAGACTTTGCCATCTGATCCTAGACTGTCCCACAAGGTAAACTAAACTCTCTGTATCTATCTTGTTAAACCCCTCAAAAATCTTACATGTTTCATTATGGTCATCTCTAATTCTCCTAAATTCTAATGAGTAACCTACTCGACCTCTCTGCATAAGGAAATCTCTGTATACCCAGGATTAACCTGGTAAAATATCACTTGGCTGTCTCCTTAGATAAAGAGCCCCAAACTGTTTTCAGTATACCAGATGTGGTCTAACTATTTCAGCCTCAAAAACTGGTCTTTTACTTGCTGAACTAGTATGCTATCATTTTATGATTTCAAATCCTTCTCTGCTGACTTTCTGCAGTCTTTCCATGATTAAATAACCTTCAACTCCTGTATTCTTCTGCCAAAGTGAATAACCTCACATTTTCCCAAACTATATTCCATGTTCCATTGATATTGTTCCTTGTAACAATTACAGGATGCTCCAAAACCTATTTTACACTCAATAAACTATTTCTTGAACCATTCTGATGTAGTTAAACCTAACTTCAAGTGTGCACATATCAAGGGCCCTGGAGCACTTGTGGGTCAGTGGTAGTGTCCTTATCTCATGGCCACAAGGTCTTGCTCAGGTTGCACTTGCCACAGTGGGGTATCATGTCGAGTTTGAATAGGTTAAGAATAATTAGCAAGGGTGGTGAGACAACAAAAGCAGCTTGCATTTATGCAACCCTTTGAACTTCCTAAGATGCTTCACAAAAACATTACGAAGCTAAACAGAAGCTTAATTTATTGCCTGATCTGAAAGAGGGTATGAAATGTAATCTTTATCTAGCTTTTCTCCCTTATCAATAGCTCTCACTCAACATGTGATCTAAAGGTTCAGGCATGCTATAGCAGGAGTGTTGTTATTATGGCACTGCAGTTATTGTATCAAGTTGGCTTGAAATCAGAGTCATGGAGGTCAATGGTATTAAAGTGGAGAGAGTCTCTCTGTAGGGAATTTTTATTGTGTACTCAGATTCTTTATTGTGGTTGACCGCCCACCCACCTTATTGGAAGAGCATCAATTATATAACATCTTGAAAACAGAAAGTCCCAGGTTCAAATCCTGTCCAGAAACTTGAGGACATAATCAAAGCTGAAAATTTCAGTAAAGCATTGAGACAGTGCTGCATTGTCGGAGGTTCCACTTCTCACACGATGCCCCCATATTCCCTCTCAAGTGTACCTTTAAGATTCCACTGATTTTTTAAGAAGAGCAGGTTAGTTCCTTCTGTGTCCTGGCTAACACACACTCCTCAATCAGTAGAACACATACACAGATAATCCAGTCGCTCTGAAGAAGATGTTACAGGTTGTGAAGCATTAGGATTCCCTGTCATTAAGAAAGACATTATATAATTTCAGGTCTTTCTTTTAAACATCCCAGGACAGTTCACTGGTGAATTATCAGAGAAACATTGGCACCAAATCTCATGAAGACCTATGACAACAGAAGAGGAAAAAGAATCTGGCTATACAAAAAGGCATATGCAGCACAATCATCGATTCGTAAATGTTGTGCAAAGGTTTGAAAAGAGAAGGGACCACATAGTAACTCAAAAGGTATTCTTCATCAGAAACTCAATTGACTTTATTCAGTGAATTGAAATCTATGCCTCACTCTTCCAAACTAGCTCACTCTGTTGGAACAATTTCAGAATTGGAGTAGTTGGTTTGTATGGTACTCAAATTCTGTAATGTGAGTAATAAATACTGTTGTCAGTAACTTTTTTTTAAAAAATGACGAGAGATGACCAGAAGCTTGGTTAAAGAAGCTGCAAGCAGTGATATATGAGTGAGGAAACTGAGATTGAGAGGTAAAGAGGGTTAGGCCAGGAATTCCTCAGCTTAGGATCAAGGCAGTGGAAGGTACGACAGCTCGGGGAGCAAGGAAATTGGGAATGCCCAAGAGTTCAGAACTGGATCTGTGCAGAGAGCTTGTAGGACTGCCCTTTCTGTAGGACTGGAGGAGATCAAAGACGTCAGGAGGGAAAAGTAAACATAAGATGAGAATGAAAATCAAAGCATTGCCAGAGTGTGAGTGCATCAGCAAGTAAAAGCAATGGGGTGAAAGAGAATTCAGTACAAGTTATAACACGGGTAGCAGGGTTTCGAATGAGCTCAGGTTCACAGTGGGTGGTAATTGGGAGGCTGGCCAAGAAAGCATTGGAAAATTCAAACCTATTGGCAACAAGTGCATTGTACAGGTTTAGTATTGTTAAGAAATCATATCTGATTCATATAATTGTGCAATGCAAGAGGGAAACTTGCTTTTAGACGGAACATAATTTCTCTCTGTTATCTTCCAATTAACTTATATATAGTGTACAATTAAAAAAAACATTGATTTTTCAATGCCAAAATGTCATCCACAAACAATGTGGTTGATCAGGTTAACGAGTGTGAAGTGTTGTTTAAGGGAGCAATATTAATTGTTGCAGTGTATCTTGTAGATGGTACATACTGCTGCCATTGCACTAGTGGCAAAGCAATGGAATGTTCGAGGTGGTGGATAGGGTGCTGATCAATTAGATTGCTTTGTCCTCTTTGGTGTCAAGCTTTTTGAATGTTGTTGGAGCTGTATTCATCTGGACTAGTGGGGAACATCCTGTCGCAGCCCTAAGTTGTGCCTTGGAGATGTTGGGCAGGCTTTAGGTAGCCACAAGACGAATTACTGCAGAATTCAGAGCCTCTGACTAGCCCTTGTAGCCACAGGATTTATATGGAGGCCCAGATCACTATCTCATCAATGGTGATTCTCATTAGTTTGCTGGTCCTTGGCTTAAATCGACTGTGCTTCTAACTGTAGCTCATTAGCAGGCAGAATGATATGGTACCTATGGACACTCTCTGTGACAAGTTCGAGAATAGTGTAAAATCAGATCACCTTCTTGTGGACACAACCTTATAACACTGTGCAATACAGGGTAGGAACTTCAAGGTCCTTCAGTCATGGAGACCTAGGATTCCCAGAGGAATATATGAGTTCCTGTAAATGTAAAAAAACTCAACAACTTAGAATAATGTAGTTGTCCTTATGAGTGTGATAGTCCTATCTAACTGGTCATTTCAAATCCAAATCTTTGACTTCTTTCAGTTGAAACAACCTGTTACATTGTGTCTATGCACATATTGTTATATTCTGAGATCGCTTTCTGCCTGAATACCAACATTGTATGACTGAAACTGGATAATTCCCCAAAAATCTTTGGGGGTGTGCTAGGTGGGGGTGGGGGTTGGGGGAGGGTTGTGGGTATGATGTTCAGAAGCCAGAGCAGATGGGTGCCTTCCAGGGGACTACACAGGTCTAGACATCAGGGCGGAGGACAGTGAAATATTAGGAAAAATTAACATAGAGAGACAGTAGTTACTAAATGCTCTAGCAGCATTGAAAGTAGATTAATCTACTGACCTGGGTGTGATGTAGCCTAGGCTGTTGAGGGAGGCAAAGGAGGAGATATCAGGAGACCTGCCAGTATATTTCAAATCCTCTCTGACCACAGTTGAGATGCCAGAGGACTGGAGGATTGCTAATGTTGTGCCATTATTAAAAGGGGGGAGGAAAGGATAGACCAGGAAATAACAGGCTAATCAGTACAACTGCAGTGGTGAGAAGTAATTAAGTTGAATTCTGGGGTACAGAATGTATCTGCACTTGGAGTAGACAAGGATTATTCAGGACAGTCATTTTGGATTTGTTCAGGGAATGTCATATTTAGCACCTTGATCTTTTTTGAGGGGAAACCAGGAGACTCAATGTGGCAGTCCTTTTGATGTTACATGGATTTAAGAAGGGTTTTTGAAAAGCTCCCTCATGGAAGGCTGGTTAAGATGTAAGAGTCTGGGGATCCGAGACAAATTGGCACATTGGGTCCAAAACTGGCTGGAAGTTAGCAAGCAGAACGTGATGACAGAGGGATGTTTCTATGATAGGAAGTCTGTTTCCAGTGGGGTTCCACCTTGCTGATTGTGACCATATCTGGTATGCCAAGACCACATCCAGAGTCCTGTGAGCAGTTTGAGTCCCGCTATTTAAGAAAACATATTGTTTCATTGGAGGCAGTTCAGAGAAGGTTCAATAGGATGATCCCCAGTATGAAGGGATTGTCTGAAGAGTAAAGGCGAAACAGGTTGGGGCTCTCATCATTGGAGTATAAAACAATGAGACGTGATTTCATTGAACCTATAGGTTTCTTAAGAGGCTTGATAGAGTAAATAATGGAAGGATATTTCCCTTCATGGGAGAGTCCAGGACCAGAGGGCAGTTTCAGAATAAAGGGACGTCAATTTAAGACTGAGACGAGGAGGAATTTCTTCTCTCAGAGGATTATGAGTCTTTGGAATTCCTTGCCACAGTGAGCTGTGGGGGCAGAGTCCTTGCATATATTTAAGGCTGAGATAGTTAGTTTCGTAAGCAGTACAGGAATCAAGGGTTATGGGGAAAGAGCGGGAAGGTGGAGGTGAGGAATGTCAGATCAGCCATGATCCTGTTAAACAGTGGAGCA